GCTGTTATAAGAAGTTGGTAAACACAATTTCACAGCCCTCCATTATTCTAGGCCGATATTGCCGACCTCGCAGACATCATTCCAAGTCTTCAGCTGCCTATAGCCCATAATATTCGTTAGTTTCAATGCTTCTTGGTGGAGGTATAGCGTAGTACTTGCTCCACAACGCAAAGGATCTACCCATGAACAGCTGAGCACTCACCTCACATTGCCACCGTAGGAGCGGAGGAAAGCAGCATCAAAATTCGAGCAAGGGTTCTACGGATTGCCACTATAACCAGTAAAGAAGAAAATCACTCAAGTGATACACGCCTTTGCGCTTGCGCTGTACAACTTGAATGTTTGAATGCTTTCATTGACACGGATTTTGCTATATGAACAAAGCTAGACGGACTGCTGACTATCATAGAAGACAACGACTTTTTGTCGAAAAATATGGGACAGAGAATAGATGTGACAGAGAATAGACGTGAAGGACATGGTGATACATGGTTTGCAGTCGGGTCCGATTCGATCCGAGAGGTACCTGCCTTCTTTTGGTGTGCCGCGCTGGTCGTAGCAGCTGGTTTTCCGCATATAGTGGCTTGAGGAGTCGTTTCGCGGTCTTGGCTTTTGTCTCTGCCTCCAGATATGGAGTATCAGGTCGTCAACAAAGGCAATGCCGCTGAGTATAATGAACAGGTCGGCGAAATTTTCGATCAACTCAGCTACGCGCCAGATGCGTAGCCAGAGTATCTCTAAGTTTGGCCAGACTGAGGGGCTTGGCGAGAAAATCATCTGCACCCACTGCCAGGAAGTTCGATTGAGCCGCTGGGTTGACTACTGCTGTTACAGCAATGATAGGTCTCCTGCGGCTGAGGACGCCAGATGCCTCCATTTCACGAATTTCTTTGGTCGCTATGGTACCGGATTTGCGAGGCATGCTTTCGTCCATGATGATTGCGTCGACAGTGGCGTCGTGTTCGAGGATTTCGTCGATACCTGCTTGACCATCGTCGGCGGTAAGCACATCGTAGCCCAGCGATGCTAGCATCTTCTTGGCCAGCTTTTGATTAATCTGAAAATGACGTTAGCAATGAAGAGTCTATTTGCACAGAAATCTGAACTTACAGGGTTGTCCTCAACGACTAAGATGACCGCTTTTCGACTCGTTCTTCGTGCGATACGTGGCATTTCCTTCAGGGTAGCCGGCTTTGGCACGACCTCTACTTCGGGTGCAAAGCGGAGTGTCTTCGAAGGAGTGGCATTGATCGGCCGCTGCTGTTGCTGCTGGACGCGCTGTTCGAACAAGTGCCACATCAGCGGCTTCTGCATAACAATCATGTGTGATGCTACCTGGATGCCAGGCAGATCACGAAGAGAGTCCTGGCTGTTGCTGGGCATAAGTACCACCCATTCAACGTGTTGCATCAGCTGATGGAATTGTGTCATGTTCTTTTTTAAGAACACCGCGTCCGCCCATATGTACTTCCATTGTAACTTTGGAAGTTCCTCAATGTTCTCAGCTAGACAGACGTTGTAACCGGCCTTCTCCCAAGATATACGAAGGCCGTCGGAGTACACAAATTCGTCTTCCTGGACCAAGATTGCCACATCGGGTCTTGTTTTGATGTGTGGCGATTCCCGACCACTCGATGCCGTTTGCAATGGCAGAGTAATTGTGAAGGTACTGCCGCTGCGGAGGTAAGGCTCAGAGTCTTCGGTTTGGAACTGAGATTCCACATCGATCGTGCCCTGCATCCTTTCCAGTAGCTGTTTGATTATGCTCAATCCGAGACCTGTTCCTCTTTGCCTTCCTCGGACTTCTCCCTGTTGGAAGGCCTCAAACATGCGACTGCGAAATTCTGGTTCCAGACCCACCCCTGTGTCAATAACCTTGGCCACTAGCTTTTCGTTGCTGATTTCAATCAGAAGTAGAACGTAGCCGGATCTGGTGAATTTCAAAGCATTCGAAAGAAGGTTCATAAGTATCCGATGAATGTACGTCTCATCCAAGAAAAGACACGACGGCACGTCAGGCGCGACCACCATGAAAAGCTCAACGTTTGATTCGTCGTCGATGTTCGGCAAGAGGTTGATAATGGACTCACAAACTGATCGGATATCAATGACTGTGGGTCGGTATGTTGCCTCCGCATTTCGCTCCAATTTAGACCAGTCCAGCACGTTAGTTGTGACTGTGTTCATGTTAATAACTCCTCGCAGAGATATACTTAGAAATCATGACTACTCACTCATGGACAAGGTCTTTGTAGCCCTCTGTATTGACGACAGAAGCGCACGACCCTCTTCGGTTAATTCAGTTTGCGCAAGCAAATCGCTGTAGCCTTGTAGATGATGTAAAGGTGTGCGAATCTCATGGGATGCCGATGCAATGAACTCAGAACGGGCCATTGCAGCGGCTTCGGCGTTTTCTTTCTGCGCAATGGCTGTGACAAGTCAGCTAAAAGTGGACCTTGCATCTCATCATGATCAAGTACCTTTCCAGAGTTCCTTCCTGGCCAGCACAATCTCAGCAAGCTTCAGTCGTGCAACTGTCGCACTGGTGGTGAGGAGCAAATTTGCTAAAATGCATGTGATTCCAGCTACAGCAATTACAGAATTCGCAAGAGCAGGTGGATAGCCTCTAAAGTCAGACGGCTCCTGTCGGGACCAGAAAGTAACGGCTCTAAAAGGTAGTGATTAGCTGAAAGTATGAAATGAACAATATAGAGAATCCAAAGACTGACCGCATTCCTGAGTGGTGCATTCCATTCACACCAACAGTGGCAACAGCTGAAAAGAGAAGCTGCTGGCTAAGCTGCGTCTCCATATTGGACATGAGAATTATTCCGACAAAGCACACTGCCCAGCTGACGAGCGCAGAGATCATGACAAGTACTGGATTTAAAGTGTAGTAACCCTGAGGTATTCTCAGGCCAGCAATGCCGCAATAATGCATTGCCGTGATGGCTATGCTCCAGAAAAGGCCTTTTGAGGCATTCTTGAAGGTGCACCCAGCCCAAAGGGCTTTTGCGATGTAGATGAACGCGTTGCCAGTTGCGGAACCTTTGCGATACATCATTCCCATGGCAGAGTTGATGTTGAGATATCCAGAGCTTGATCCACCGATAGAAGAATTGTGGCGTATGGAAGACCATTCACTTGATGCTGTATTGGTATTGCCTGCTTCGCTTGGAGACCTTTGGGAAGGCTCTTGACCTTCATCGGCATCGTCTGTTTGTCCAGAGGCTAGCCAAGCTTTGCTCGCAGAGGACATTCCGTTCCGTTTTGAGAACAATCCTTGCTCCGGGTCCGCATCATCATATCGAAAGCCACCGCTCGGGGGTTTCAACAAGACTGTGGTTCCAGGACTGACAGGAGCAGAGGCTGGACCGGCATTGTCCAGAAAAGCGGCAGTGGGTCGTCGGTCTCGGATCTCAATGTCGTCTCCATCAAAGTAGCCTCGCTCATCTTCGCGATCTTCGTGACCTTCTGGCGAGTCGACGGCGTCTAACAGGGGCGTCGTTCCAGACGAATGGTCTCGCTCCGCATCTGGAAAGCGACGTCGCGATTTCTGCTTACTAGCAGACTTTCTCTGCTTTCGCTTCTTCCTTCTGCGAAGCTTGAGGTAACGATCCCAAAGTACATCTGATGCCAGCGCAATCCAAGTAAAAAAGACTGCAAGGACAGCGGACAAACACGTAAGGCCGGCATCTACACCAATCCTGACATCAAGCATACATGCAAGCATTGCGATTTCGTGGAGAGCCCATACTGCACAAAAGCCGAATATGAGACTGCCTGCGCCGGTCCATATGAAAACACTGGAAAAGCTGAGGCACATCCGGGCATGACAAAACACTTGAGTGGCTGTCAAACTTCCAATAAAACAAATGGCTATGGAGCAAGCAATGAGTGCCGGGTCCCATTGAGGTTCCAATCGGCGATATTCGCCATGGTCCGTCGCGGCCAGGGGGGGCTCCATTTTGCGCCGGGGCGTCGGAGCTGCTCTGTGGGGTGGCGTAATCAACCAAGATCAAGGGGAAAGCCACATGAGGCGCACAAGAATGGTGTCAGGACATTTCTGTCTATGTTTTGGTATACAATGGAAGGTAATGCGAGAGGAGGATGTGAGAGAACTACTTCAGCCTCAATCCTTATTATTACGCAGGCCCTGTCGGAGGCGGGACCCCTCGGACGTTGTTCGCACGTCTCTTCACAATTCAAAGTTCAACCCGTTGAAGCTTCACTTCGCAGGTCTAGACGGGACCTTTCTTGATGTCAAAAAGTCGCCGACAATTGCGATTATTGTTAGCCATAGTAAGAGCCTCTACGAAATATTATGTCTAACTTTGTTGATTGCCCTTCTATGGCATCCCATCGCTTCTGAAAGGCACTTATAATTAAGCTTGTGTCAATAGCAGACTAAACAGTCCCTGCACACTGCTGCCAAGACTCGATCGCGAACGTCTGCCCGCTGTAAATAGAGTTCAGAACCACATGTACTCTGCTTTTACTGCATGAGGTAGCCACGTACTCGAGCAGATGCGGCTAGCCGTGTCGAATGACAGATTAGGCTAGAATGAAGCCAGCCCGTACTTCTTCATGGCTGTGTATTATTCTTCATTCATTCATTTAACAAGCCGCAACCAACTGTTGGTCAATTTACTTACTTCCAGCTGCAGCAGCGTATCAAAGCTTGCACTGCCACCTTCTGGTTCCTCCCTAATATTCGAACATTGGCACCCACGCATCCGGCTGCCATGACAGTATCAAAACTACCCTGCCGCCCGTCTACCGCCGTCAATGGCATTGAAATACACCTATAGGGCACATGGACTGTCTCAACACGATGGAAATCCTGGACCCCGTGTATAAGCCTAGGCCTTGGCATTTTGCACGCAATCAAAAATCCGAGCTTATACGCACAAACGGAATATGTCTCTCTGGTTCTGTTTGGAAATATGAGACCTCGACAACATCCAAAAAGAATGCGCAAGCACTTATAGTATAGGAATAGCCGAAGGCGGGGCTCGAACCCGCGACCTTGAGGTTGTCTCTTGATAAGAGCCACACGCTCTACCGATTGAGCTACCCCGGCAAGGTCATTATCAAGTTCTCTGTGAGAACTGGCACTGCTTGATGGAGTCGGTGACTGCCTGGCACCTATATGAAGTTACAATATTAATACCAGGTAGATCATGGCCGCGTCGCCGCCAACGGAAAAACTGGTGCAATCCTCGTTCGGCAGTGGAAAAACGGCCGAGATGATCTGCCGAGCGCGGCTGATATTCGGAAGTGAGACACCTTGAGGGCTATGCAGGTAGATCCACCTTAGTGATAAGACTGGGGATGTTTTCGTCAATGATGAACATATATGTCGGAGAATATGGCCTTGACCTAATTGGCCTAGGAGACAAAGATAGCAGGGGCGGCATTGCATAACACAGCACCCGTGAATCTCCGTTGGCGATCAAATGGCCAACGCTGGTACATCGAGGAGGTATCGGTCGGCTGAAGAAGTCATTGGAGGATCAAATGTTGCTCTTGGAGTCGTTATCTTGGAATCGTTATGCGAATCGTGCCTTGCCTAGCTGCTGCGATCCATCACGACATTGGAACACGTCGACTTCATGTGCGATAGGGCGAGGTTCATAACGTGTCAGTCCTCTTTCCGACGCGCTGTGTGAATAATGTGAGGTCCAGGGATCTATCAAGCCTTGCAGCTTGATACATCATCGTTTGACTTTTGTGCTGATGCAGGGAGGTTAGAGCATGCAGCTTGACGAACAGCTGCGCCGGTATTGACACGGCTCGTACAATGGCCCGCCGTTCTCTTTTGTATCTTGATGGGCTTTTGCTCCAATCTCACATGGCCGAGCGAGGTGACTTGGTCAATTGATGAATCAATAAGTTAGGAGAACTCGTGTAGGCGGTACTGCACCTTGAGCTATACAGAAGACGTCTCGTCATCATTCTTAAGCGAATCGCCCTTTGCAGAAGTGCGAGGAATGCCGATTTCGGTCAATAACGAGGAAGCTCCAAAATTTAGGCCGGCTCAGGGACGAGGCTTACCCGATTAGGTGTAGCATAGGCCAAATGCTCCTAAATGGAAAATTCGTTGGAAAACACAAATTGCAGACCAGAGCTTTTCTCGACGCATTCCATCAATCATGCTTCTCAAAAAAAAAACTAACACGTTGTAGGACGTTCAAGCCGACACTTCCTGTATATTTTTTGTGCTCAGATATTTCCATGTTTGATTGATTGATTGATTGATTTTTTTCATACGCTATGCGCTTGCCACAGGAAGCATGAGCAGCTACTATTTACTTGTTTGCTAATTACACAAATATTTGTGGGGTCTGCGTCTCATTCTGCAGCTCAACCTGTTGGGATGCCCGTGCATCTTCTCCGTCTGGGTATTCTTCTCCCATGCAGGGATGGTTTCGATACTGCTCCCCGTCTTGCCTAACTGTGTTTCCATATTGCGGAGGGAGGAGGTGAACAACTGATGGAGTGATCGTTAAGAAGACTGAGCTGGACGGGGGATTGCCAGTTGACGTTCGCTAACAGGAAACTGGTGTCCCCCAGAGATATTTCCATGTTCGCCAATTCCTGATTGATTGATTGATTGATTATTTCATATGCTATGCGCTTGCCACTGGAAGCATAAGCGACTACTATCTACTACTGACTAATTACAAATCTGTGTGTGAGGCCTGTGTCTTATTCTGCAGCTCTAACTGTTAGGGTGCCTATGCACCTGTTTTATCTAAATATTTTATAGCACGTGCTATGTCTAGTATATATATTAATATTTTTTTTTTCCTTTTTTCTTACCTATTATCTGCCTTGCTTTCTAACTCCCTTCTACTATCCCTTTCCTTGCTCTCTTAATTATTTTGTCTAATTTTTTCCTTTATTCTTCTATATTCCTTTACAAAATCCAATTTTCTAATATTTATTATATATTTAATAATTATATAGACTATATCTATATCTGCTCTTTATTAATCTATAAGTCTGTTTTTATAAGGTTGCTCTGTTATTATATAGAGATTGCGCCTTCTAATTATTTAAAAGATATTGCTAAACTTAGGGCCTAACGTTTCTATTAATTTCTGTTTTTAAATTGCATATTTAGAATATAGTAATATAAAGTGTTAAACTGTTTTCTCTCTCTGCCTGTATTTATATTAATTTAAGTCTGTAATATTAATAACTGCTAGGAACTTATTTAGATAGGCATGTCCTATATAAAGCTATAATAGGATAGAGGCTTCTTTCTTATTTAGCTTATTGTAAAATAGCATAGTGTGTTTACTAGAGATAGCGCTATCTATTATGCAAAGGCTTTTACCTATATTTTATAGTCTCTGTTATTCTTTAGCTAAGATCTTGTTCTAGAGGGTTTTCTAAACTTGTTTTATACTGTCTAGGATTGTCTCTCTTATAATTAGCCTTATAGTGTAAAGGTTTGTAGCCTGTTTAGCTAGTTAGTCTAATTTAACATGTTCTATAGCTACAAACTTCTTTAGGATCTATTAGATAGCTAATTGTCCTTTAAGGATTGTATAGTAGTTAACTGTGTGTAGGATGCTTAGTATTATAACTGCTCCATTTTAACAAGCCTAGTAGTTAATTATGTAAACAGCTGTTTAATTATCAGATTACATTGACACTTAAGGGATTAGCCTTTTATAACTATATAATGTTTTTAATAGGATTCTAGCTAGAGTTACTGCTTTTTTAATTATAACTAGTTCTATTATTATACTGTTAATATTACCTTTTAATTTAATTTGTTATAAGAGGGTAAATAGTAATATAGGCTTTTTAAAATACATTGCTACCCTAACTCCTGCTTAGCTGTTAGTAATAGAGCTATTAATAAATATATCTAAGTGCTGTTTCTTCATTTTAAGGTAGTTTTTATATACTTTATTAAAGCTATATTAGTCAGATTTATAATTAATTATTATTGTGCTTTATAGTAAGGCAACCTATGCTAGGATAACTTCTATATTTGTTTCCATCTTTCCTAACTATATTTTTATATTATAGAGAGAAAAGGTAAACAACTTTGCTCTAGGCTTTTTAACCAGTTTTCTAAGCTATACCTTTAATAGGTTAATTTCTAGCAATGTGTAGAGTCCTACTTAGAATTTGCTAATCTTTAATTTTAGCTAAATATGCGGAAGGGGGAGTAAAGCTTTAGCATTAGACGCTTCAATTAAGGTTATATAGAAACATTTAATAATTGCTTAGGCTCTTATCCTTTATATAGAATTAAGAATCTTAGCTATACTATTGTTAATCTTTCCCTTAAGGGACCTAGAGTACTATGCTATAGCTATGTAATCTATTTTTAAAGCTATTATAGCTTAGTATAGTTGTTGCGCTAATTGTAGTCTAATATAGAAGAGGCGTTTAAGTTAACTAGCGCTTTTCTATCCTTTTATTTTGACTTTAGCTAGATAGTCCTTAAACCTTAGCTCAATATTGAAAACAACTCCTAGGATTCTCTCTTTTATAAAGGGTTTAATAATATAATTGCCTATTTTAAATAAGGGGTCAATATTGCTAATTTTCCTATAATTTTGTATAAAATATATAAGGATTGTTTTATTGCTTTTAAATATAGCGCTGCTATCTTTTACTTATTAGAAAGCCTTTAAGACAATTTTATTATTAAATATTAATATATTCCTTTCTATTAATTCCAAAATAGCTTATTAGGTATAGTTATTAATAAACCTTATATTGCCTTATCTCCTATTAATCTTCTTCTTTATTAAGAACGTATTAAAGAAGATATATAGAATTAGGGCAAGTGTTAATTTTTATAGGAGATTTAATTCTATAAGGGTAACTTAACTTAATTCTATATTATTAACTAGTACTGTAGCTATTTAATCAGTATAAAAGGAGTTAACCTATATAACTACCTAGATTGGGATTCCTTCTGTATATAGCTAATTAGTAAATACTTATTAAGAGACATTATTATATACTCTTTTTATATTAAAGCTAATAAAGGAAAGAACTTTCTTTTATTGCTATACTTTAAAGATTTTTTTAACTAAAAGGAGCAGCGCTTAATTATATAATTACTTTAGCTTAGCGCTAAATTGTATTTTTAAAAGGAGATTAAAGGTCTCTATTTAATATAATATTCTTTTTGCTAATACTAATTCTATTAGTTTGCTTAGAATAGCTAGGAGGAAGATAGAGCAGTATACTTTTGCTATACAGTAATTAGGTTTCCCTAGCTTTTATAATAATAGGATTTGCGCTATTTTTTATATAAATAGTATATATCCTAGTTAATATAATACATTAAAGATATTAGTGACTTAATTATTTAAAATAGATTATAAGCGTTTTTATACAATATTTGGAATGCTATTTATACTTAGCGCTTTATATAAACTGATTTTGGCTATTGCTCTAGTTACCTTTTTAATAGAGATATCTGAATTGTCTATATATCTTATATTAAAGTTTGGCATATCCTTTTTCTAGCTTTTTAGAACTAGTAGGAAAAAGCATTAGAGTAGTTCAGTTGCTTTAGCGTTGTTGCCTTCTAGCTCTATCTCCTAGCCCTTAATGCTAGTAACTATAGTAAGGATGTTGCTAAACGCTGATAGTTATAGGTCAAGGTACCTAGCTGCTTTCCAGATATTAAAAGTTGTTCTAATATAGTCGCTTTTTATTATAGATGCCTTTATAAAACTGGTATTTAGCACGCCTAGCTTAGTATTAACTTTCTTCCCTATCTAGCCCTATTACCTATAGCGTATTGTTCTAGTTCTGTTATTATATATATTCGTTATAGAGCTTTATAAGCTTGTTATCCTATTATACTTTTATATATAGGGATTCCTTTATTACTAGGCTATAGTCCTATATATATTAGCTTACTGTGTTCTGGATCTCTATAACTGCTTAATTAAGTTTAGTTATATTATCAATATTAGTTACTAATAGTTGCTATTCTTTAAATGCTTTAATAGCTTTATCTTAATCTGTTTTCCTAAAATTGTATTTAGTTTCTAATAAAGTAGCTATTATAGTTCTTTCAATTTGAAGCGTTATAGCTTTATAGTTCAATCTATATTAGTTTAAATAAATATTGCATTTAGTAATTTGATTTTTAAGCGTATTAAATATTAATATAAGGTTAATAGTTATTTTAAAGCATCTTTAGAGAAATATAATAATGCTGCTTAGTAAAGCTAAGAAAATGTTATATTAATATATTCATTAAAGTATTAGCTTATTTTCTCCTTTATATTATAATTATAGCATATTGATCCTTTTTTATACTAGGTTATAGCAATTGAAGTTGCTTCTTACTATTATAGGGAGGTTTCCTCTATGCTTCCTTTTAGCTTTATAGATAGTATTGTTTAATACTATAAGTCTAGAGGTAATCGACTCCTCTAAGTCCTGCTTAGAGGGGGCGTGTTGGCTATAGCCTAGGATATAGATTAATGTAATGAAAAGGTGTTCTATTAAAGTAATAATAACCCCTATAGTTATATTTAATAACTGCATAGGGAATTAGACAAATAAAACGTTTTTATAGATATATAATAGTAACTAGAATGCGTAGTGCATTAGCTCCTCCTATTAGATGGATAGCATTATAATAGTCTAGCACTGATATTAGGAAATATATAGCTTACTGTCAATATTAGCAATGCTTAGTTTAATAATTATAATTGCTACAAAATGGCTAATAGATTAGTTATTAAGAAGGCTGAATTACACAAGGAATTGTCTATTTACGTTTACTAATAGGAAACTGGTATCTTTTATTATATATTGCTTATAGTAACTTCCTATCTAGTTTGTTAGCTAGTAACAGTCTACCATTCTGTGTCTTCATTATAGATAGCTTAGCTAATGTATTATCTACTTTTTTAGATTCTGATAACCTTGTTACAGTATGTAGAGCATTCTACATTTATAGCTATATATAGTCTATTATATGCTACACATTTAGGAGCTATAGCCTTATAATTATTAATTTTATAATTCTCTATATATTTGCTACATTTTGTTAATTAGCTATATCTAGCCTAATAATAGCTGTATTTATTGCAGTTATAGCATCTCTAAGGGCGTTAATGCTTCTTATATTTACTAATCTATACTATATTTTTATTAATCTTGACCTATTGTTTATAAAGGCTTATTAAGCATTTTAGGCTATAGCTAGGTATACTACTATAGATCCTTTCGATTTTTCCCCTTTAAATAGCTAGAATGCCTTAATGGCGCTTATAAACTCGTTTTTATTTACAAATTCTGCTAAGAATTCTAAATAGATTGTTCTAATGCCTAGCATTAAGACTGCTACTCTAGATGCATTATTAACTTTAATTAGGAATCAATCCTTTTTGTAAGTTTAGGCTATATTAAATACTTAATAGACTTATCTATTATTTAGCTACAATTATGCTATATCTTTTTCATTTTAGGTAATAACCCTTATAAATCTCGCTTTTATTTAAATACCTTTAATAATAATTATATAAACTAATAGCTAGAATGCTATTACTTTTTTAATTTTTTTTACTATAATTCCGCTATTTATAGCCAGCTTTTATTATTTAGTTAGCATTTAGCTAATATTAATTATAATATTTAGAAGTTATTATAGCTTTTTTAAAAAAGTAGGCAGAGTTAATAGCGTTCCTTTGCTTATATAAAGTTAGGTAGCTAATAATAATAGATTAATTAATCTTAATGCTATAAAAGCATATAAAATTAGTAATAATACTATTATATTAAGGTTAGCTAGGGATAATAGGCTTAACTATTTAAAGATTAAAAGGACTGTTCTTCCTTTATTAATATTAGAGCTAATAGTCCTAATTTTTATATTAAGGATTTTAATATCAGCTTTTAAATCTGCTAATTTTATATTTATTATTTTGAATTCCTTTTTAAGCTTTTTAATTCCTATAAGCGTGTATTTAAGTCTCATTTTTATAATATTAAGCTTTGTCTTAACTGTATCAAGTTTTTTTATAATAATATTAAATAACGTTATTATAGTAGTATTCTCCTAATAGAAGGCCTTGTTCTAAGTCTTAAAGACCTTATTCTGAGTCTTAAGTTGCTTAAACAGTTTATTAAGTTTGCTATTTTGAGCGTTTACTGCTCCTTTAATAAGACGCTTCATTATATCTTTAGTAAAGATAATGTTATTACTTGGACTAAGGGAGCGGATAGGCTGAATCAGTCCTTCATTACCCTGTCTAGTACTCCTAGCTCTTCTTTAAGCTATTATAGCAGCAATTAGTCCCTTTAGGGACAATGCTAATATGACTATAGCAACAGCATTGCTAAGACGTTCGGGCGGCACCCTTTCCCTTAACTAAATTCGACAGGAGTTGGATAGTCCGACTTGTCGAGTTGGCTTGTAGATGAAACTGTCAATAAAATGATGAATATCGATAAAAATTATCGATGTCCCTTTGGTCCCGCCAATTCCTGACCAGTCTCGGGCTACGCTTCGGATGCGGGACAGCTGGCGCTGCCTCAAACCTCAATCTAGATACACACTACGGACTTGATTCCCTACATCCAAGTCGCATGGTCTAGTGGTATGACGTTTCCTTCACATCACGTACTTCTAGAAGTGCGGAAAAGGTCCTGGGTTCGATCCCCAGTGCGACTATTCATTCTTCCTTTTTTGCATCCATTCTTTCTTTTTTTCTCATGTATTCTTGAAACGCATCTATTCTGGTTTCGAGGCATGGGTGGATGCCTAGCGCTGGTCGCATGGAGCGCAGTCGCCAAATGTGTATGATATGAGGTGGGCGTCCTTGTTAACTTCGTTGCAACGAGCATATCATTTTGGTACCTGGATGGTACGAAGCATTATTTGCACTCAGTTTACTTTGCACCCAGTTCGTAAATTGATGAAGAACTTTGACACTTTGGAGTACTGAACAGAATCATGTGAAGTGCCAGTTGTCTATGTTCTAGCTGGATATCGCTTACACGCTTTAAGCGATGGATCTTTAGTTCTGCCTGCGAAGGCTTGCATCAATAACATCATGGACGTAGGCTACTGTTCTCTGTTCCAGTGCTCGTACCTCTCTCTGTGCGTCTGGTGCTTTGGTTGCATATATTACTGTTGATATTGTGGTTCATACGACTTCATCTGTTGATAATGATTTCTGTGATGGAAGAGACATTTTTCGTAGGGTGGGCGACCCTGTTCAGATGTGCGGATCATACTTCACATCTTATTTTGGGCATGTACAACACGCCTGCGAACTTGCGATCAAGTGCGGGCTTATGATCCTCTTCTGTAGTCGTATAATGACGATACTCTGATGCTACGGGGCGAGAACGACACTGTCATTGTGCTATGTGAACAGGCTTCTCATTACCGTGATGAGCTTACTCATGCTCACGCCCTACTCGATCCTCCCAAGCAGCAGCCCTGCCTCACACTGGTGTGTACGGGAAACGAACGCATTTCATGATAGCGCAGTACTCATAGGTGAAATGTGATCTTTTCAGCACAATGGACCACTATGCTCCGTGAAAAAATGATGATAGTATCTGCCGAGAATACCCCGAGAGTCCAGCTGACTACTCGTATACCCAGCACAGCCTGACTACCAGTAATAGGGCATCCCTACCAGGAGGACATACAACCGAGTGACTCACCCATATTTCAGGTAAAGAATGTCATGTAGTAGCCGAACGATGGAGGACCGTCTCGCGCTAGCAGATGGTATCCTTGGAGCACGCCGACATTAACATGTAGAACTATCAATTTGCTATCCTGGCCAGCATCGTAAGAAGTCGTGATTGCTACAACGTCCTGGCGTTAAAACGCTCAATGGATGGAGGGGACCCACGTGTGGAGAGCCCGAATCTGCCTTTTCTGCAGGGCAGGTATATTGCACTTGTACTTTTTTAGACTTTGTGGTTCAATAGGGAGATCGGCATGGCATTTGAGAGTTGTCCGCGGGGTACGGAAACTCCGATCGTGAAGAGCTGTGAGCTTGAGCTAAAAGTCAGTGAGTCTGACCAGATACGTTTCAACTGTTGAAAGGATACGGCTGTCTTGCGGTATGCCTACGCTGTTCGCCTTCCAAATATTACACGAAATTCATGGGCACTCCATACCAGACATGGGAATGTTTCGATGGGCACTGCATGGCGATATTTTCTATTGCATTGTCACACCATGATGGTTCGGCAATAACGTCCGAGGCTGAAAGGGTCTTTGCGATCGCCGCCAATCTTGCAACCTAATTCCGCAATACCCGGACACGGTTGTATTCATCGTAGTCTTATTAGTCATTCAAGGAGTAGAATCGGGGTCGAATAGAAGAGGCTAAGATTGTTGAAAATGGTAGCAAGAAGGAAAAACTTGTGAGATAAACCAGATCGATGATTGCTATAGACTCCCTGACCATAATTCTGGCGGTCAAAGGATCTCGATATCGACATTGTAAAAGTCTCGGCGTTTTCGGAGCAGAAGCAGCCGTATTAACCTGCTTGCAAATCAGAAGCTTAGGTTAGGTTGGTTCGGGTCTCAGCGGATGTATACAGACTTGGCATGGTGTCATGGTCAACGTTGGTACGACAAACCGATTTGTAAATATTGCCGTTTTCTGCATTCTTAAACCTCTTCCTATCTAGACATAACATCATCGCGCGCCTGGTGACGCTGCAACACTGTTCGCCGTCTCTCGAGCTGGCCTCTCTCGACTTGATAATCAACGTCAATCCACACAGCTGGAAGAAAGCAAAAATATCGCTAGCGGCTAACGGACCCAACACCGAGATGATGGAGAGCCGGGCAGAGGCTGGGAGGTACGTATTTCGCGCCACTTCCAAGACGACGACTCTCAAGGAGGAAAACAACTAAACAATTGCGTACAGGTCCCTCAGTTTGATTGTGTCTATTTTGATACTTGCATATCACGCGGCGACGGCGTATCTTTGCACCTACTTGCCCAGCGACCCCCTCTACGTATCAGTCAGCGTCACAGGATATGCGTGGTACGGATGTGCTCTGTCTTTGCTAGGAGTGCTCGGATCGATCAAGGTATGCTCTGCCATTGCACTCATTATTCCATTTCCTATCTTCCTCGTTTTATGCTGTCATATGATGATGTTCAATGTCTTCCGATGTGATTACAATAGTATGATCTTCATCGTCACAAAAAGCCTCACACTGACGTTCTACAGCGATCGCCCATACTTCTTACGATCTTCTCTAACCACCTCCTCATCGACACAGTCCTCTCCCTCGTACCCAAAGTTGGACTGCTATATATTTTCCATGACTTGACCACTGACCTTTGTATCGGCACCATGTCGTCGAGTTTCTGGCTTCCCACTGATAGCCAGTCTCTACATGGACCAGGACGGGTACTGATCAACGGCGTCGACCAAATGAGAGACTTCAACAAAGCACGAAGAAACTGCGAAATCGGGTTCTCCATGGCTCGAATGGCCCTGTTAGCAGTCCTTGTATTCTGGACCACCGCTCAATGGGGCCTGGGACTTTATATCAGGCTATACGCAGTCAAATTGGAAATCAAGGGCTGTGTCACACAGGGAGGAGACTCATTGCGCGATCTTGAAAAGGCCTTTTATGAGGAGGACAGTCTTGCCGACGAGTACCGAGATGCCATTAGAGCTGTGTCAACATGGACGCGGTCGGGCAATGAGAAACAGCCAGTAACTGAGTTTGACACCACAATACGAGGAGAGAAAGAGGAAGCGTTGCAATGAAGCAAGATGAGAGCTTGCAAGATACCCCACTTGACGACGAGAATGAGCAATTTATGTGGATATGGAATATTATTACATCAACATCAACTTCTGAGTTTTGACTTTCGTGGCAAAGCGGAATGCAAGCCTGCTCAAAATGTGCAAAGTCATTGCAAACAACACGTAAGTAAACATCGTCCTCAGGCCCCATCTTGAACTCGTTTGGAGATTGCCTTCATTCATCAGAAGATCCATCGCAAGTATACATCCTCCTTCACTCTCTCCTCTTCTTCTTCTAGTACTCTGGTAAAGCACCACACGTCTCTCTTCCAACAAGTCTGGCAATTGCAATCACATTTCTCCCATGCAAGAACAGCCCCGCAATGCATACAGGCCTCCTCCAAGTTCCAGCCTTCTTTTGCTTTCACCCAGGCATTGCTTCCTCTCTTTCGCCGCTTCAGTGTCCGTTGAAAGCGGCCATCGTGCCATTTACATACTCTATTCCGCACATTCAGCATGGACTCTGTCCTTGCCGTTCCTACACTTCTTTCTTCCCGACCTTGTCCAGATTCACCAAGACTCTCCTCCTGAAGATCATCCACATCCAAGAAGACGAACCCCGCCCGATCGAACAACGAAACCGGATACAACGCCTTGCAAAGCGCGCACCTCGTTCTGCCCTCTTGGTCTCCACGTCCATGATTTATATCGATCGTCTCGCCATCTTTTCCTCTCTTGATTCCGGCTGCTTCACGGCTCTCTTCGAAAGCATATCTGACCGCCGGCCCCTGACATGTATCTCCTTCCACACGAATCACCCCAGAACTAGGCAACGCTCCCGGTACCGGCATAGGCAGAGAAATGTACAATGAGCGACAGCTTAGTTTCAAAGCCACTTGAGCCGCCAGCGGCAGATGCTCGGTTGATAAATGATGGAGAATGTCCAGAGGCAAAGCCAGGAGTGGAAATGCTTGCGGGGTCGGGCGTTTCGAGGTGCTTTTATAAGGATCGCAGTCGTCGTGACTGTGAGGGTGACGGTGGTTGGTGGTGGTATACGAACCAGAATCCGAGCAAGACTTCGGTAGTCGATTTGTCCCCCTGGATGGACTCGGTGCGTGCGAAGATGGACTCCTCGCTACCTCTAAATCGCCATCGTCGTTTGTGGGCTGACCACCACCCGCCTCATTGCTACCGATATTATTCGCAAAGACCCGCAGCTGTGGATACTGCAGTCTATTGCAGAGCGCAGAAACCAACGCACTCGGTCCCATCCTTGGTAAATTAGGATTTGAAAATGTCCCCCGGAGGCCAACTTCTTGCGATGCAGGCTTTCAGCGTCTTTTAAGGTGGTCGATTGTTCTCTAGGCGCAGCACCTCGAGCACCGGTCGTCTGGACAGATTGAACACGCGACTCGTGATGTTTGCTCAGACCGTGTGACTCGAGGAGTGGCACCGGTCAGGCAAGGGATGGATCGAATGAATGGTGTTCCAGCACCAGCAGCAGCAGCAGCAGCAGCACATATATCCGTCGTACAGGCGACACACACTGCCTCGATGTCTCTTAGACGCCCACAAAAGCAGTCGTACAGCGGATTGGGCGTCTAGCACAGTAATTTGCGGTTATCCGCTCGATACATTCCAGAGAGTCGGCTGGATATCCGTCGCAAGCGAATGGCCCTCGCCCGTATCTATTGATTCTTGCAAGTGGAAATATCCGTGGATGTGATTGGATCGAATTTCCACTAAATCAATAAAAATCTGTATCCACTGTATGCCACACTCTAAGGATTTTTTAATATAACCCAGGCAGCAGCAGTAAACAATCGGGTGTCAGAAACTTGAGATAAACAACAACACCTTGGACGTCCTTTGATTTTACTGATATTCATTCGCCAAAAACAAAATAATCTGTCTGTTTGTTTATCTTGCCTT